CTTTCCTTCTTTCCTTCTTTCTTTCCTCCAGTTTACCCAACTCAACAGAGATTTTTATCGATTTTTAGTCACAAAAACATTCACGAAGTTTTCCAAAAATACTTTTATTAATATATAATATTAAAGTCTATAATCAATTCAATGAATTCACATTCTCAATCGTATTCATTTTTTTTTTTTAATCAATACAAAATTTCTTAAAGCACCGTCAGGGACTATTTCGAACACATCGACAACCAATTACATATTCTTTTCTATTACGCGTTGCTGTAATGTTCCCACATATGCTTCCTCTTCCATATTTAGCGCAGTCAAAGGACGCAAGTTGGCACCTTACTTGTACTATACCATCAGCTCCGATAAATCTTGAATGGACACATCCTCTTGAAGGGCAGTCAATTCCTTTAGTGGTGTACATGGTGTGTAAAAGCACTACGACTATCACTGCTGTCATTATCATTACCTAGAAGGATAAAAAAGAATTTCAGTCTTTAGAAATAATTCTGAGTTAAATGATAAGTGTGGAAAGCCAATCAAAAAGCTTTAAACTGGGAAGCACGGGTGGCGTAGCGGTGTGAGTGCTCGCCTCTCATTAATGCGACCCGAATTCCAGTCCCGCCGGGTTGGGTGTCGTATGTGAGTAGAGTTGTTTGTTGGTTCTCTCCTGTGCTTCGAGGGTTTTCCGGGTTCTCCGGTTTTCCTCCCTCCGCAAAAATCAACTCCTAAATTCCAATTCGATCACWGGTTTGTTAGCCATTGGCTATTAAGTGCCGGCTACCCTCGTGAAAAAAGGACGTTTTTTTTTTGTTTTTTTTTCCCCAACTTAACGGCACCTTATTTCATAATGCATTTACATAAAATATATACGCATGCCTTTCGTCGTATGTCTGTTGTCGGAGCGATAGGGAATAGGTGCCTTTCACTAGAGATTGAAGACATATGATAACCATTCCAAGATTCAAAAACAATAACAGGAATATAAGAATTTTTTGTTGGGATAAACAGTGTTGCTCGAAGTCGACAAAAGCATTTCTGGTATCCCACAATCCCTTTCGGTCTTGAAATGACATATATCCTATGCCTCCTTGACAACATTAACCATTTCGACATAGGTGTTGGTGTATAAAGTCAAAAAAGTCTGCCTATTTAGGTTGTACATGACTATTTAGATTATTTTTAACAAATGAACACAAGGAATTTGAGTTCAATCTCTACTCACCGATTCCCTTGTCATATTTGTTCCTTTTTCTCTAGTTCTTTTACCGTTGTCGATCGAATAAAATAGCAGATGTATCAATCAAACGAAAAGACAGAAGAGGATAAGGCTTTGGGGATAATTGTACGTTAATCTTATATGCCGGATACAGTTATATAAGCCGAGTTCAAATCTATTTTTATTAACATTATTAAGAAAACTCCCTTTTTTTAGTATTCAGTATTTTTATATTTTTATATCGCAGTTTTTAATTTACTTCCTAAATGTTTGTCCTCTTTTTTACTCTTTGTTTTCTTTAATTTTGACGGTTTTGTTATTTTTGAATAATTTAATTTCGAAAGCAAACATTTTGAAATGAGTATTTGTTCATATATATATAATTATAATCATATCAACACAATTTAAAATAGCATTTCAGAGCATGCAGTTTGTAACTATGGATCGAAATTCGTTTTAAAAAACAGCATCGATTGAATAAGAATTCAAAAATAATAATAATTGTGTATGTAGAAATTTAAATAGAGGGAAAAAGGAAGAACGAAAAAAAGAAATAGAAAAACAGAATGCTAAACGAAAGTTAATAAATGAATTAATATAATGAGAGTTTGCCTTCCAACGTGACAAAGAATTGTGTGACTTTAGCTAAGTCACGCTTTCTTCAGCTTCCGCATTGTTTTGTCGCTACTTCTCGATCTTGATGCTCCAGCTTGGAAAGATGTATCAAGCTTTAACGATGATTATAGCATTTCTTTAAGCGACTAACAAAAATAGTGCTTAGAAATGAGGATAGATTCATCTTCGTAAAGAATCATTTTTGGGGAACGATTTTTTCATGAATGACATTGTAAGGTTATTGACGAACTATTTGATGAAGGTAAAAAGCTATGCAGTAAAATAAAAATTAAAAAATAAAATGAGATTAATAAACTATAAAAGAGAGTGAAATAACTGTGAATATATGGTATATATAAAAATAAATAAGAAAGAAAGAGAAATATGTAACGACACTGAGAACAGGGATGGAATAAAGAAATGGAAGAATGGGAAATTGAATGGCATCAATGACTAACTGACGGACGGACGGACGGACGGATTGAGTGAAGAAAGAAAGGAAGGAAAGAAGAAAGGAAGGAGGGAAGGAAGGAAGATAGGAATGCATATTTCAAGGTCACAACTTCAACGTTTTTATTGAAAACAGCAAATCAGTGAATAAATATTTCTTTAACTTACAAATTGAAAATATCGAAATCTGATATAAATATTTACCTACATTGTAGCCGTGTAGTTTAACATTATATAATATATATATAAATATCTCTTTAGTTTCATTCTGGCATATATTCTCATGCACATTTTGTCCGCCATCTTGGATAGCGTCCTGGCACAGGTAGCCCAAGCTTGGTTTCTGTGGTGTCCTGTTATAAGGAAATGTATGGAGATTCATCAAAAAT